ATATTCTTGCTTGCAAAATTATGCCATAAGTATTTCACAATTCTCTTCATCATCTTTTTTTTTAAATCAACATATGTAACTAATTTTAATTCTCACATGCATGTATTTTTCAGTGAGTTGTATAAAAAGAAAATGTGATCTGCACATCTCCTGCCTAGTATAAAGATACACTGCATCCTTTAAATATTCATTCATTCATTCTCTATGATTTCAGTCAGAATTCTGCCAGACATCCTCCCAAAACATTTATCGAACTATTTCCTATGTACTATTTGTATTACCCACTTTTTTATTTTCACCAAGATTGCTCTGCAATTTTCTGCCCCTTTTAACCTCTTTATTCTCTGACTATATTCTTTGTAACTTTGTAACTATTGTTTTCTCTACAAAGACAGCATTCAGAAGAGCATGGTGGTGAAATGGTTAGAATGCAATATGTCAAGCTAACTCACTAACCACTCCAGGAGTTCGATACTGAGTGGCTCCAAGGTTGACTCAGCCTTCCATCCTTCCGAGGTCAGTAAAATGAGGAGCCAGATTGTTAGGGGCAATATGCTGACTCTGTGAACCACTTAGAGAGGGCTGTACAGCAGGTGAAGTGGTATATAAGTCTAAGTGCTATTGCTATTCAATATTTTTCTCTCAACCTAAATTTTTGTAGCAGTCATCCTCTTAAGTACATTTTTTTCTCATCCACAGGCTTTCACATCATCATTTCAACACATATCTTTTTTCATATTTCCTGTTTCTTTTTCATCCATATCCATTTTCCCCTAAGAAAGATATCCTCTTGATTTCGTGAATTGATCCCTTACTCAGAGCCTATAATTCTCATGATTTTTCATCCTAAGAATCAAATCAATAATATTTTTACATTTATATTCAACTATTTTGTTATTTCAACCTATTTCTGTTTAAATCAGATATTCAAAACATTCATTTTTGTTCTCGGCAGATATTCACCATCATCCCTGGTCATTCATCTTTAGGTCTTCAAAACACCACTGGTCATTTTTTTCTGTGTTTTGTATACACATCACTTTATATGGATAGTTAGTGCAAAGTGACTGTGAAAAATCAATCAGGGCAGAGAATTTGAATTTGTACATAAGGTATTCCATAAATACTGTAGGAGGAGATTGATTATAGTGGCAAAAATCAGAAGTAGCCTGATAGAACATTTTCTAACAAAAGGCATAAGCTTTTGTGAGTTGCAAATCACTCATTTTTCCAAAATGGTCATTTTCATGTCTGCCCCAGAGTGTCTGGGAGAATTGAAATGCTCTGATATTATTTCCTTTTGAGTTCTGATGTCCTGATAGTATCTCCTAATTTCATATGAAGTCTTTTCTCTTTGTCTCATTAAGACAGTAGCTTTTACATGCTTCTGGCATAAAGGTAAAGGTAAAGGTTCCCCTTGCACATATGTGCTCGTTGTTCCCGACTCTAGGGGATGGTGCTCATCTCTGTTTCAAAGCCAAAGAGCCAGCGCTGTCCGAAGATGTCTCCGTGGTCATGAGGCCAGTATGACTAAACACCAGAGATGCACGGAACACTGTTACCTTCCCACCAAAGGTGGTTCCTATTTTTCTAACTTGCATTTTTATGTACTTTCGAACTGCTAGGTTGGCAGAAGCTGAGACAAGTAACGGGAGCTCATCCCATTACTTGGCACTAGGGATTTGAACCGCTGAACTGCCGACCTTTCAATCGACAAGCTCAGTTTCTTAGCCACTGAGCCACCCCATCCCTGGCTTCTGTCATACATATCCTAGAATCATCTTCAAAGAACTTCTTTCTCACTACATAATGTTTATGCTGTGTCCCGGACTCTTGGTTCTGATTGATTTCTTTTGCTTGGCCATAAACTGAGTGACACATTTCTAAGTTACTTTGTATTTGCTTCAGCATTACATAGCATTTCTTACCTTGGTCATCTTAACTTTCTTTCCTTTTGTTACGAGGATGTCATCCTCATTATTTTTTCTCTCTTTTTCACCACGCTGTAAGACATTGTCTTGCTGACACTCTGTCCAATCACTTTTCCACATTTATCGTTGTCTGACTTTGAGGAGCATCTCATTCGTGTTTGTATGACATCAGTAGATTCTTCTTTGCTCTTGTTTTTCTTGTGTGATTTCTCCAAACCCTTAAAAATTGTGCTTATTTGCTATTCACACATACACATAAGATTGATAACAGCCTTGTGAGGTAGACCAGATGGGAAATATGACCAGATGAGCTAATTCTACTTTGTTGTAAGGTGATATTTACAGCAGTCTGAAAATACTTCTCTCCCTGCCTACCCCTCCCCCCCACTTTACAGCTCCAAAACTAGGTTGTGTCTCTTCTGAGCCCCTTGCCCTATCCACATTCTTACTGTGGGCTTTTATCTGACTGCTCCTTTTGTTGGGTCTCTTGTCCTGTCTCCCAAGGACATTCTTACGTACCACTGCACATATGACCAACCAACTGCACAAAGAAGTCCACTGGTTTCCCAGCAGATGGCTTTCAGAGACAGTCACACTGCCATCAAAGCTAATAGCTATTGATTCCCATGATTTCCATGAACAAAATGGCTATGTACACAAAAATTACAATATACAAATCATTATTTTAACTAGAGTTGGTCAGAATGCACTTGAATCAATACGAATGGTTAGAGCCAAGGTGGCACAGTGATTAGAGTGCAGTACTGCAGGTTACTTCAGCTGACTGCTAGTTGTAGTTCAGCAGTTCAGATCTCACCCAGCTCAAGGTTGACTCAGCCTTCCATCCTTCCGAGGTGGGTAAAATGAGGACCCAGATTGTTGGGGGCAATATGCTGACTCTGTAAACCGCTTAGAGAGGGCTATAAAAGCACTATGAAACAGTATATAAGTCTAAATGCTATTGCTATTGCTATATGTTCTCATATAATGTACCTGAAATCACTACATTTCACCACAAAACTAACTCTGGACAGGCTCAAAACGCTTTTTTAAAAATCTATATGTCAAGCCTTCAGAAAAGATTTGAGGGATTTGCAGCATTTCCCCTTTGGGGCTAATAAGACTTAAAAACAATGATAACCTGCTGAAACCAATCTTCTTACTGAAAGATGGGATTAAGAGGCAATGTTGAGAGTGTCAGTCACTAAAGTGGTTGACTTAACACTGCATGATAGCACTCTGCCCCAAAGTGAAAAGTGGTATTTTTGTGCCAAGCTTAGCCAAAAGAACAATGAGTTAAGAAAGCTTTGGGGTTACAGAAAGGAAATTGGTAAATTATTGAGCTTCTGACCCAAGGAAAGTTACTCAGCTGAGGAAGTAGATTGGCTAGGCACATCAAATTTCTGAATACACTCTTGCACAGACCAAAAGAGTAATGAAGTGTGGATTAAAACCAATATTACTACTATAAGTTTTTACTTCAATTCACATTATCTTTCCTGTTCAGAAAGTAAACATCTGCACTGGGGAACCTCATTCATTTTAGTTAAGTTCTTTAAGGGAAGAGCCTAAATTATGCAGAGCACAACCAAAGGTAGAAGATTTCTATTTTTCATTGCAGGTAATCATACTCTACATTTGAAGGTCAAAAGAAGGTGAGGCTGGGGAACTGCAAATATTTCCACTTCCTTCCTAATACACAGAGACTAAATTTTAATAAAATGTGCCTAAAGTTCTGTAAAGTTTAGTTATTATGTTATTCATTCATTAATTCATTCATTAATTCATTCATTTTATACAACTACCAATCTCACATTTGCTGACTGGCTCACAATTAAAACATAAACAATACAAAAAACAACAACAACAGTATAAAGAAACTAATGTTAAAAATAATTAAAACCATACATTATAGTATCTGTGAGAGAATAGACGTTCAAAAACAGCATAGCCGTTATATGAGCTCATTGATGTCCAAGGTTGTTCAAGCTCTTCTAGAGGGCCATCAAGGACAGGACCAGCCTTGGGAAAGGATGGGGGAATCATATTTTTTACAGGATGAATGCAGCAGCAGCAAAGGCTCTCTTCCTAAGGCCCATCAAATGATAGTCTAGAATAAAAGATCTATAGGAAGCCACTTCTGCTGGACTTGATGGGACAAAGAGATGTCACTGAGATGTTGGCAGTCCCTCAAATAACCCAGCCTTGTACCAGGCAAGGCTTTGTGGTTATCACCAGCACTTTGAATTGCCTATCAGGAAGCAAATTAGACCACAAATTTAATTGGACCAGGAAGCAAATTGGTAGACAGTACAGCTCACAGAACTGAGATGTAATATGTGCAGATCTAGGTATGCACATAACTGCTTATGCCCCTGCATTCTGTACCAACTGAAGCTTTTAATATTTGCTATTAAATTGTTAATTGTGACAGTCATAACTCATTTCCTTTTAAAAAGGCCAGCCTAAATGCACACCCATTTTCTGAATTTAGAAGAGGTGGGAATGGAATCTAAGAAGCAAGGGTGAGGTGCTTTGTCTTCTTCCCCTATTGTGGGTCTTTCTGGGAAGGAATGGAAGTCATATGCAAGAAAATAAGTCTTTTAGGGACAGGGTATTTTGAACTGGTCAGAAAGGCCAGTTGTCATTCAGACATCCAGGTGCCTATCACTGTCCTGATGCTATCAAATGCTTCAAACTACTGCTGCGTGTACCCTGTGAATGGCACAAGGCAATGCACCATGGCTCTCAAAGAAATTCCTGGAAACGTTCATCCTCATATCATGTACATCAAAAGGGCATCTGCAGCAATATTTTCAGACCACAGACTGAAGCTACCACTTAGAGTGATGACTGATTTTTGTTAAAGTTTGAAATAGAAATGAGAAAGGTTTGTACCTGCCCTTAGAAAATTTCCCTTGAGTTGATTTTTTAAGGTGTTTTTTTCCCCCCTTAACCTACAAAGGGTGGGTTTGTGTTAGGGATAAGGTGACTTTTAGAACAGAAAATATAAATAGAGCAGACATAGTGAAAACAGCAACAACTACAACGCACTTCAACTACAATTGCCAAAATTCAGCTACTTATTATTATGGCTGGTTTTTAGGTCCAGGCAAGAAGTCTTGTTTTTAATGCACATTTCGTTGAACATTTTAAATGCATATTTTGTTCTGCCAATATTATGGAGTGAAAAGCCATTTGTTGTTATTCTTCAGTCTCCAAGTCATTTCTGACTTGGACCATGGACCACAGCACGCTAGATGCCCCCCCATCCTCCACTGTCTCTCAGAGTCTGCCCAATGCTCACTGCATTAATGACACGATTTAACCATCTCATCCTCTGCCGTCCCCTTCTCCTTTTGCTTTCAATCTTTCCCAACATCACAGTCCTTCCCAATGAATCCTTTCTTCTTATTTGGTGGCTAAAATATTTGAGCTTCAGTTTCAGTATTTATCCTTCCAAAGAGCAGTCAGGGTTGATTTCCCAAGAAGCCATAGTAAATCTACAAATTACAGTAACAACACAACAACAATGAATAATTATTCAGAATCAGCATGGCCACTCTTGGGAACCTGAGAATTATAAGCTCTATTCAGATACTACAGGTTGAGATGACTCACTACGTGAATGCTCCCAGGAAGTGATGGCTATCAGTGATATTACTGATTCTGATATAAGAGTTTCTCATGTACATTCAGTTTAATATGCAGGAGAGATTCCTTCACACATACCATAGATTGTACAAAAGTTTCCATGTGAGTAATTATCCTGCTATGGGTTCAGGCTGATATGGAAGCCTGTATAATTGTAAATGTGCCAGTTTTCTTCCTGCTGACATTCTTCCTGGATATGGAAAGTTTATAATATTTATAATTTACAATATTTCAATTAAATAGGGGGCAGGACTTATAAGGAACATTTTCAAGATCGGTAACTATAATTTTGTTAGCCCAAATAGCACACTAGTTCCACACGAGTTTATATTTCAGCCACCAAGAGAGTTTCAATATAAAATCTAAGTGACTGTCAGATCAGCATTATTCATCCATGAAGCAATTAATTCAGCAGTTCGTTTTGAGATTAAGGCCTAGGAACTGAGAACTTTATCCAGTTCCCACAATTAGTAAATGAGGAAAAGACCAAATGAATACAAGTCAAGTAAACTTAGGAGCAATCTCTAGTCAACCCAAACATTATCAATGCACACAAATGCAGGTGAACATATTAATTCACATAATTCAGCTATTTCAATCCTACTCCAGAAAGTTCTAAGAATAAGAAGGCATAAGGAGTGAACTAACTAATCTTAGTTAGATATACATAATTTTATTTCAGTTGGTGGTGATGACAGATGAGTTAAATCCAAATTTTTATGCAAGAAATGAGTTTGGGGAAGTGAAAGTATTCACTTTCACAGAGAGGTATCCAAAGGTACAAATGATCAAATCCTGGTAGGTAATCTATCCTGATTCATGAATCTGATCATTCAGTCAGTCTTCCAGTTTATAAAGAAATATGAGGGAATAATATTGTCTTAGTGAAAAATGAAAAGTTGTGTCAGAAGCGAGAACATTTTAATAGGTTTCTTTCTCACATTCAGTTTATTTGAGTGAAGGATTCTTTGTTGGTGATATATAAATTATTATGAGTAGGGAGTGTTTTTAATTGTAAAACTAAATAGACAATATTTTTCTATAAAAATGTGAACATTTGAGAAGCAAATTATTTTTAAGTATGCCATTTTTACCCAAAGAGGAAAAGCTTTGCTGTTTTAAAATAATATATATGAAGATGAAAATAAAATAATGGTTCATTGTCCTATCCAAGTAGGCTATCTTTGTGGAAGGGGAAAAAAAAAAACCCTTCTCATTTTCACAACTACACTGACTAAAAGGCAGTTACCTAGCAACATTTCATTGTGTTTACAACATTTCATCCAATCTGAGCTCACAGATGTGCTCCTGAAGCTAATATACATACATCATGCAGCCCCTCCTGCTTTGATGAAGAATATGAGCAGTATTAAGCGGATTATGAACTGCTTTCTATATAAACAAATTAAAGAAAATGAATACAAATTCAGTATTCATTGGCAATATCTTTCTAAAAATTTACAGTATGTTGTCAGGCACTTAAAAGCAGCCTTCAGTAAGTTGAACATGCTTCTAAGTATGAGAAATTCTGGAATTGCAGCCATGTTATGTTCACATTACTCACCAATTCATGGTTGGATTGCTAAAAACAGCTTAGTTTCCCTTATGCATGTGTCAATATTACAAAGTGTATCCACAGAATCCTATTGTTTCATCAAGAATGTCAGAATTGTGGCACAAGAGTCATCATTTGCATATGTCTGTATGACTTCATAAAATATATACTGATGGAGCTGAGCTTGGTATCATGATGCTCATTTCATCCTCTTCCCTCCCAATGGATGGCCTTGTATACTAATTACAATACATTGCTTAGAAGAGAGAGGACAAACAGTTCTAAATCTGTTCACCTGTTTAGTATGCGCTTCAAGGTTTTGGTTACCATCTTTAAAGCGCTCCATGGCTCAGGACCTGGGTACTTGTGGGACCGCCTACTACCACCAATAGCCTCCCACCGGCTGGTACGCTCTCATAGAGAGGGGCTCCTCTGGGTGCCGTCGGCCAAACAATGTCGACTGGCAGCCCCCAGGGGGAGAGCCCTCTCTGTGGGGGCACCTACGATCTGGAATGAGCTCCCCCCAGAGATACGGAGGATCCCGGATCTGCGCACCTTCCGCCGCGCTCTAAAGACCTTTTTATTTCACCAGGCGGGCCTGGCCTAACTTTCTCCCTCTTTTTAAACAATTTTAATATTTTAATATTTTTAATATTTTTAATCCTCAAAGTTAAATTTGTTTTAAATTGATTGGGGTTTTAATCTGTCTGGGCCAAACTATTTAATTTGATTTTATTTCTGCTTTTTAAATTTTGTATTTATGTATTTTATTGTTGGCTGTTCACTGCCCTGAGTCCTTCGGGAGTAGGGCGGTATACAAATCAAATAAAAGTAAAGTAAAGTAAAGTATGATTATAAGTTGCTTCCATCCACACTTCCAGCCAAAGGAACGTCTAATGTATGGTGCACTGCCATTGACTTCAGCCATGAGAGGCAATGAGAGATAGCACATTATCATAAGAGCCGAGGTGGCACAGTGGTTAGAGTGCAGCACTGCAGGCTACTTCAGCTGACTGCTAGCTGCAGTTCGACAGTTGACTCAGCCTTTCATCCTTCCGAGGTGGGTAAAATGAGGAGCCAGATTGTTGGGGGCAATATGCTGACTCTGTAAACCGCTTAGAGAGGGCTGTAAAAAGCACTATGAAGCAGTATATAAGTCTAAGTGCTATTGCTATTTTCCATTCTGCCACAACATGAAAATGCAAATAGCCTTAGTAACAACATGTCCCCACCATATCCTCCAACTTTCTGCATCCCTCATCATAAACTATGGGATAGAAGTGGCTCCTGTCCCATTATATGGGATGCTTTTTCAATTATATTGATGTGATGTACACAGAACCAGTTCATAAAAAGCCAGGTTCAAATATGGGGCCTTCTTACGACAAACTTACATGTAGTTCTTTATTATATAATACTCTGTTGTGGAAAAGAAAGTATAAATTCCACCTAAAAGATTCATATCATGAGGCAAAGCAGAAATCTTTTGTCATAAATGACTGTTATTAGAATATTCTTATCTAAATCAGTTTATTTTATATCGGTTTAGCCAATTGCGAAAACTCAAAGCTGTGTATTCAAACATTTCCTCTGCATCCCTCTCCTTCCCTGCTGCCTAAGTCCAGCTTCAATACTTACTGACCAAAAAAGATTATTTTCTTGGAAAAATATGTAAATCTCTTTTCTCTTCTTTTTTTCCCCTATTCTTCTAGCAATAGAAGTCCACTTTGCAGAATTTGTTCCAAATAGTTACCCAGTTTTTGTACAGAAGAACATCCATTTTCCCCAAACAGTAAAACAGAATTCTGAAAAAACCCCTGAGATTCGTGATGACCAAGCTGCCAAAAGAACTGCTGATCTCACTACTTGCAGCAGGAGAAATAATAAAATCGTGGCTATGGTGGGGAAGCTGTGCTGCAAATGTACTTTGATAAATTGATGGAGAATTTCTCCTCTCCCTGAGAAATTGTTTGAAATGACACGTCTAACTTCCCTATTCATAAATATGGGAAAGAAATCTGAGAGGCCATTTGCACATAAGACTGTTTGTGTTGCGTTTCTGACCAGCGGGATAGCTCTGGATAGAGACTCACCACTCTATTGTAACTTTGCCTTAATCCTGATTGCTGTACCTCCTGATATGAGATGTTGCCTTGATTTGAAAAATTGAGTTCCTTCTCTCAATACCTTGGATTGAAATATTAAAGCAGACTTTCTTGGTCTAGACCAGGGGTGTCAAACTCAAGGCCCGTGGGCCAGATCCGGCCCGCTGGGTGCTTAGATCTGGCCCATGGGGTCACCCTGGAAACAGTGAAGGACCAGCTCGCAGTGCCTCTGCCAGCGGAAACAGAGCTTGGGAGGCTGCAACGGCTTCCTCAATCCTCTGCCAGCAAAAATGGAGCTCAGGAGGCCTCCCCAGCTCCATGTTCGCTGGCAGAGGGTTGTAGGAGGCCGTTGCAGCCTCCTGAGCTCTCTTTTTGCTGGCAGAGCACTTGGGCCACCACAGGCACCCTGACATGAGTGACGTCAAGTTGGCCATGCCCACCCTGGCCCCCAAGGTCAAACACAACCCTGATGTGGCCCTCAATGAAATTGAGTTTTACACCCCTGGTCTAGATGGCTGCTTTCTCCATGGAAAACGGGTGAAGCTGATGGTGCAGCTTCAAAGGGTCCTTCAGTCAAAACTTCACAAAAATGAGCTATTTGCTCACTGCATATTTGGCAATACTTGCATGTTGATTTTGGTCCAGATTTATCTGGAGTTCTCTTGATTTCTTGTGATTCTACCAACATCCTTTCTACTTTATGTAAATGCTTCAAATCCAGACACAGATTTCATTCCTTAACTCTTGATAAACAAAACAAAAACAAAACAAAACCTCATTTAAGTTATAACAAGTGGTAATGGCAACAAGAGTCAAAACAAATTATAACAATTAGCTGTCTTTTTTGCTGATTATGCATTACAACCATTCATTGTGATGTGGAAGAACATTGGCAAAAACTATTATCTCAGCAGATGGCAGCAACTAGCACAAGTTGGCAGATCTTGGAAGCTAAGCAGAGTCTGTCCTGGTTAATACTTGGATGGGAACAACCTTGGAATTCCAGTGTTATAGGCTAGACTGGGAAGATGGGGAAAAAAATCTAAAGGCAATGGCAAACCACTTCAATAACAATGATAAGGAAACTGCCTAGCTTCAATCAGCAGACTCTGAGCATAAATTGGGGGCGTTTCAATCCATAGTTTACGTTAAAAAAAATTCTGTTGTATACATGGTATGATTTCAAGTCCTTCCAAAAGTGATCAGCAGGTGGCGGTAGTATTCTGTCCGTTGCCTCCTTATCCAAAGAGCATCCTTTTCCCCCTCTAACTACCTATGGTCTGGTTGCACTCAAGGAATGGTTCTGTCCTCTGGGTCCTTGGCATTCAGAACTGTGTTTAAAGAAGAGACCATCCAGTGCCTGAATATCTTTGATAGGTTTTGGTATCATTGTAAGCAATTTAAACAAAGAGCCTACAACTGGTAAAATATTTTTTACCAAAAACTTCAGGCAACATTGTTACCATGGCTATTTACAATTCCTTTTTTTGGTGGTCAAAAGAGCTTACTAACCACTTGACAATCATTTCATCATCTCAAATTTACCAGCAGACTATCCAGAGCAATTTTCTTTGCTTTTCTGATTAACAGTATTGATTATGAATACATTTTTTTTTCTCTTGAGGAAATTTTCTCCATAAAATCAAGACTCTAGAAAATCGCCTTTATGCAGCAACCTGTTCTCATAAACCTGAAAGTCTACTTTGTTCCCTATTTTGGGGGCAAGAAGGTCATTATTTAATCCATTTTTCTCTTTAATCCTCTATTTTTACCACCTATGTTTCCCTGATTAGCCAACTTAACATATAAACTCTTATAATTTCTTAGTATCACCTTGTCCTTATTTACATAATAGTTTTTCTTCTCTACTTCTTTCCTTTCCTTAGGTTCTGTTGTTTAGAATTAGTGCACTAGCCCTTATGGTAAGGCAGGACTTCCTAATCAAACTACTTTGTAGTCCATGAGAAACTCCTGGGTGTTTTCTTGGTCTTTAATACTCAGCTCAGCTCAGCAGGCTTTATTGTTCACTATCCATGAGCTTTTAATGATATTTTCCCTATTTTTTAATTTATTTATACTGCAGCTTTATAATTTTTTTTACATTTTTTTAAATGTAAAAGGTGGTGTACATGCCTAATGCTCCTTTTTCCTTTTATTTTCCACACAACAACAACATGTTAACAGAACAGATAACAGATTAACAGAGATATACAGAGCTGGAGGGGACCTTATAGGTCATTTAGTCCAACCCCCCCCCCCACCCCCGCTCGAGCAGGAGAACCTACACCATTTCTGACGGATGGCAATCCAACCTCTTCTTGAAAACTTCCAGTGATTAAGCTCCCACAACTTCTGAAGGCAAGCTGGTCCATTGGTTGATTGTTCTCACTGTTCTTTCAATAGCACGAAAACCATCAGGCTGAGCCAACAATAAGCAGTTATCATTATCACTGTGTTGCTGCCCGAGAAAGCTAGGAATATCCAGGTGGACTCAAGAGGATGGCTGAGGAAAGCTGTTCTCAATCAAAAAGCCCATCCAATGTCCACCCCCTGAACTGGTTGCCTTCTGGTAGGATTGTCATTGCCCAATTCTCCCTTTCACATCTGTGATTTAAACTCATTCAGTTAAAAATATTCAAACCAATAATCTAACACCACCAAGGGGGAAGTATTCTGTCTCCAAATAAGGAGTAAGTTTATTATAGAAAGCCTGAAAGGATTTGGTCTCTCAATGAAATCAGCCCAGATTCACTGAGTCCATTCAACACCAAGAACTGGTTTTCAGAATTTTATTTAGCAGATGCAAGTTAGAAAAATAAGATGTATTTTTAGCTACATTTATAATGGCACTGTCTCTTTAAAATGACCTTTTCTGGCTCTAGACTATTTATCTCCCCTCTATCCTGAATTTGTAAGCCAAACTCATAGCTTAATAAAACCCTCTGGCATTCAGGCAGCCAGGC